CCTCTCCTCACCTCTGTTAACTAGATTGTTCGAGGTGGCAGCTGTTAACTGCGGCTTTTAAAAGGTACATGTAAATGCAGCCTTTCCCCAAAAAAAATTCAAAAATGTGCATAAACAATAACAATTTCTGATAAATGCAATGCTGGTTTACTAGATTTATGTGCTAAAGGCAAGAACTACTTAAAATAATGAAATGCATGGGCTTGATTCTTTATTCGTCCGAGTCACTCCATTACCTCCAGTGCTTGAAGGAAATTGCTCCAAGAGTAGAATCAGGCCCTTAATGGTTTGCCAGCTACCATACTGACATTACACCCAGAAAACAGTCACAGAAATTTATATTTAGTTCCACAAGAACAGTACATTAGATATCCTTAAGTGTTTTATGAGGCAGGAATTTTCTGACTCTTCTGACAAAACCACCCGTACGCGTAGTAACCGGAGCTTTGAACAAATATTGCGGTTGTGATTTACAGCACAATTGCCAGAGTCTTCCTAGCTTCATCTTTGATGGCTACTTACTCAGGCTGTATTTTTTAGCTCCACAGATTATATCTGCCTTGGCCTCTTCCACAAACACTGGATTCACTGGAGTGTGTTGCAGACAATACAGCTCTCAAACAATGAAGCATTTGTGTTCATTATCTTCTATTTTATCTTTGGAATTCTACTATTTAGGTCACTATCTGTGGCTTCAAGCTATTCTTTCCTGACAAATTGTAGCTCTTTTTGGCTTAAAAAGATATAATCAATGAATTCATCTATGTTATTCCTCTGGGTATAAAGGTCTACATGTAATAAGTGGCACACAAAGTATAAGATTACATTGCTATTCCTGAACTGCAGCCCTGAGATTAATTGTGCCTTATAGGCCAAAATTTGAAGAGCTGCTGGATGCTGGCCTCTCTGAAAATCTGATAAAAATAACAAAATAAAACCCCAATATTACTAAATTTCTCAAATGCTTTAAGTATGATCCCTCACCAGCATGAACTAGAAGGATGTGAATGCATGTATGTATATTCCACAACATGCAATTTTAGCTGCAGGTAAGGAGAATAATGATGAATGAATCCTTTACCTGATCATATCTGCCTTTTCTGAAAGAAAAAAAAAAAATCCACCACGGGTTTTACTTGAAAGATAATCCCTGGATTTTAGTGAAGTAACATCATTCACGGTGAAATGCATCAATATTCTGTGGAATAAAAATGACACTCAGGTACAGGGACGTACAGGAATCCCATTTACATTTAAACTTAAGCTCACTGATTGCTCTGCTCATGTAAAAAATTACTGTGCTCTGAATGAAATGAAGATGAGTGCTTAAGCAAACAGTCATAAATTAATTTGTAATGAAACATGACAGTCATAATTTAATTTAGAATGTATTTAAGATTGTTGTTACTATTTGTATAGGTCTTTTTTGCCTGGAGGAAGATGTGAATTCATAGTGAAATGTCAGCTATTGAAATACCAAACTTCTTATGCGTACATGTGTGTTAATTAATTAAAATGATGTAGATAGTTTCTTAATGAAGATCTGTTGTCTACTGCAAGCAGTCAGACAACAGACTGGCTGATTGGGGCACATGTAGGATCAGTGGGTCACCAAGAACTTCCCAACAAAGCCTGAGGGGTGCTGAGCATAACCTGTAAAATCTGTGGGCTCACGAGGCTGCTGCTCAGCTTCCTCGTGTCTGCACCCCAATCTATGTCAGCATGCTGCCCTGTCTGCTGGGCTGGGGCCACGTCCAGCACCCTGGTGATGCCAGCACAGAATAGGGGAAGGGCAAGGCTGGCACTTAGGGCACGAGCACTTGCAAGAAAGTAGCTCTGTGGTGTATAGTCTTTTAAGAGATAAATTTAAATATATTAAAAAATAGCTGACCTGTTTATTTTTTATTAGATTTCTTCTAAATAATTTGGATGGTTCTGACTAACATGGATTTTTAAAGTAAAAAATTCCTACCTTGTCACATTTTATTGATATTGTAGAAGTTGTTCTTTGTAACTATTTCTAAGCCCTCATGAATCTGATTGCATTCACTCCACCAATGGAACTATACGGGGTTAACTGATCATCCTAAGCTTTTCAGTTTTGTCAAATTTGCCTTATAAAAATGACGTAGTAGTGGTTTCATTTTAATGTGAGAAATTGCTTCTCCATTTCTAATAGCATCAAGTCACAAAAAGAAGTGACCGTTCAATTTGCTAACTGGGGGATGGTGTGATAGGGCATTTGGGGATGATCTGGGTGTGACCAAAAAATCCTAGCAGTTTTCCTCAGCATCAGTTAAGAAACCATGATCCCAAGAACTTGTGATTTCTGTTTGGAAAGTAATGTATAAGGAAAACCAAATTACAGGCCTTGAAGCACAGTGTCTATGCCAAAAATAGGTATTTCTGAAAAGTATAATACAAACCAAAGGAAAGGTCCTTTCCACAGAACCTCATGGCAACAGAATTCCCCTCATCACACAATGAGCCCCTGTTTTACAGCTCAGGAGACAGGAAAGTTGGTTAGATGCTGGTGTTATCACATGAACCAGTATATACTTACCCTGCTCTTGGGGGGAGGTCAGTGATTTTGGGTGGGCAGCTCCAGGCCCTCTCTACCCTGGGTGCTGAGAACATCAGCATCACCTGGAAGAGTTGTAAGCTGGTTATAAACTTTGAGTGTGATTGAGGACACAGAGAGTCCTTGGGTCACCATAAGGTACTTAGCCTGTGTTTCATGTTGCTCATCTACTATTTATCCCAATTTCAGACCTGATTAAAAGTTAGTCCTTCCACACCAGAGAATGAAGCCTTCCTAAAAACCCTCTCCTGCACTCACAACAGTTCCTTCCTCCCCAGTTGGCTCATCTTCCCAAATCAGCAGTATAATTAGCCATATTATCCTTGGAAACAGACATTATTTGGTTCCTTTACAGAATTATTTGTAGAGAAATATCCTGGGGAGGGATGGGTGAAGCTGAACACTGTCCTAGCAAAAGCCTGATCTTTATAGCAGTACCTTAAAAGCCAGTTTTATAACGCTCATATTTAATACTGATAGTAGAATCTTTTTTTCATTGCCACTTTCTTGGCCAATAGTGCATCTGGCAAGTTATCCAATAGCTTAGATTTTCCTGGAACACCACAGACAGGCATACCCCTCAGATACACAGGTCAAACTACTTTCTCAGGATAAATAAAATTTTCATAACAGCCACTATTTGGGGTTTACATTTATTTGTCACATGGACATGGAAATTTTCTGTTGTATAAACTGTTGGAATGCTATCAGCAGAGGCTTGACAATAACATGAGTCTTGCCATTTCATGTTGTATTATCTGTTAAGGGTATTATTACGATGAAGTTCTTTGAAAAGCTGAATATATTTTTTTCTGGGTTAATTTCCAGTCAGATCAGTAAGCTGATCCACCTCATCTGTTGTACAAAAGCTGAAGGACAGGGAGTTGCAGCCACAGACTGTAAGTAATGCTTTCGGGGCACAAGCACAGCCTTTGGTGGACTTGGGGATTTCATTTCATAATCAACTAACTAGCAACCAGACTGGTGGTTAATACGAAAGCAAATTCACCAGTTTGAAAACCAGTATAGTTCACTGTTTCAGGACTCCATTTCAGAGGGCTGTGTGTAGAATCAGTTCCTCCACCAAGGATTTCCAGTTTAAATGGATCAAGGAAGTCCTTTGTCACCAATACAGGTACAAAATCGAGGCATGGAAAGATTGGGTAAATTTCTAAGAAACAATGTTCAGGTAAGGTCTGTATGGATTTCCCATTCTACTCCCTTTTACCAGTTTCTGTAGTATTTATTTTCCAGAACACACTAGAAAAAATGTAAAAAAGTTTAATGATGATTTACAAATATACAATACTTACATTTTTAGGAGTTAGAAAAATGGCACATACCGCAGAACCCACAAGCTTCCTCTAACCTTCGGTACATTTCAAAGTTATTTATTTACAAAGAAAAATTACAGTCACTTTTCATAGTGTCACATGTTTACATATAAGCATTTCTCAGTTGAAAAATAACTTGCAGCCTACCCACAGGCAGTTTTTGCAGTTTGAGCTCTGCACTCATCTATCACATCAAAAATTCTATCAGACCCTGTTAAGCTGACATGACATTGCATTTTTATGTTTTAACAGCCTTTAGTTTGAAGATATGTACACCCTGTAAGGCTGAAGTGATTCACAGTCGTTGAGACTTAACCTGGTGTGTTTTGTATTGCTCATGCTTTGGAATCACCTTTTTAATTAGCTGGCTAAGACATGTTTAGAAAAAGGTGGTCCAATTTTTTTAGCTAGGGTAATTCCAACTCTTCAAAAAGGGAATTAAAAAACCAAAATGTCCTCTCCAGGATGCTTTTTCAACTTATGAAACTTTTATATTAAATTATTCCTCTGCTATGTACAATTCTTACCAAAGGTAACAGAGAGAAACTCGTCACGCTTCCCAAATCCTGTTCATTTCCATTATTTTTCCAATGTTGGAAATTTTCTAGGTTGTATTTTCTTTAAACCAAAATTTAGAAACTTTATCCTAGCTGAGAGCAAACATGGCTATTTCTCAGTCTGGATGCACTTGAGTTTTCCTATGCATCAAAACACTTGCAATCAGAGAAACACAGCCCAAGCACATACAGTCCGCTTCTGACATCTTCCACGTCTGAGTGTACACAAATCCTTTCACACTCTCATGATTTTCAGACTGTATGATTTCAACACACAACAGTATGTGAACTTAATACCATCTTCATTATGCTGGAGGTAGACTGGGACTAACGTTTACTGCTGGTAGTTTTTAATTAAGACTAAATACCACCAGAGTATTAGTTATGGTTCAGGTCAGTATTGTTGTAAACTGAGAAAGAGAAAAAAGCTTTCTGTCAGTAGCTGTGAACAGAGTTGAAAAAGTGTCTTCCTGCACTACAACATTTCCCTCCCAAAAACTTCCTCTATAGACAAAATAAACTCCAAATTCAAATGTCCTTAAAGAATGCCTGCATTCTGGATTTTCTTCGTGCAAGAGCTTCTTGTTTTTTCCTTTCAATCTCCTCCTGAGAACATTTCCTATTTTTTTGTTCCACCGCAGACGCTGTAAATAAAAAACATCTATTAGGAGCCTTCAAGTTTGTTCAATATGTATTTTAACTTATCTGTTTTCAGTGTTTGAAGATCTATGGCCAGAGCACACTATTCTGACATACTGGGCACCCAAGTTAAAAATGGCTCATCTATCCTATCCCCGAGGCAGGAAGGGGGATAAGATGCATGACCTTTGTAGTGCTGCTGATTACTACCTCCCAATGAAAACACTGGGATGCAGACATTTGCTCCAAGGAAATTTTACTTGGCTGCCCTTCAAGTGAACCTTGTGACATCAGGAGTCAACACAGGAGATGGTGATGGGTTAAGAAAATGAAGGCTATCAGAGTGAAAAGGGCTCTACAATTTAGTGAGTTAGGCAGAGATATGGGCACGGAGATGGTACAGACACAGGGGTCAGATACAGTACAGGTGTCACACAAATAAAAGCAGAAAGGTTGAAAGAAGGTCAAAAGTAGCAATAAAAATTGGCAAAGGAGACAAGAACATGATAGCTAAGCGTAATATTTTATATGTTGTGTTACAGAACTATAAAATCCCATACAATAAAATCCTGACCTCACTGGAACCAACAGGAACACTCGGTGCAGATGTCAAGAATTTTACCATTTTTATACACCAGTTTCCAATAAATGTATTTTTTAATAAGTAGTCTTTCAAACTGGATAAATAAAACAAAGGGTCTCTTTGATTCTTAAAAAAATAAAAAAGGTGTCCATTAAAAATTACATATCAGTTTTTGAAAGGGTGACTTAACACCCATCTTTTTGTTGCAGCATTGTCCTTTCACCAAAGATTTAAGATGAGAACAGTTGTTTATCTGTAAAGGAAATCTATGCTGTTCTTTTTATTCCTTTATTCTCTAGAACATTCCACAGAATGACTAGCCACCTCTACACTCCTTTCCCCCTTAACATCCAAAACTGCTATTTTCCATTTGTCTGCTCCTCTGCTGGGGAGAAAGCACAGATAAAATACTGATGCTTGAAATAATGCTGGCTGCTAGTTTGCAGGAATGATTTTTTTTTGTTCTTTGTCACAGTGCTTCCTGAAAATTGAGGTTGATACAGTACACTCTAAAGGCACGTTTTATCAAAATTAATACTGAGTAAAACTTCACCAAGCCATGAGATCAAGTCAAAACAAGACTGACTGGCACTTGACTGGTTCTGCACTTCCCTAGCAAGTCACATCAGTGCATGAACCATTACAGACAGTTGCCTGATGATAGAAAAGTGACTGACCTCCCCTCTAGATGAAAGGAAATGTTGGTGTTTAGGCTGGTAACACAAGAATATTTCACTGGTGGTTTCAGCCACAGCACAAACAATACAGGCTGAGGTTTCAGAAGCACTGAATGATTTGAGGGTCCAGTTTCCAGGCGTACAACAATAAAAAGAAACTGGCATTCTCTATCACTTACTGCCTTCTTTCCCTAATCCAACATTAAATTGGGTTTTACAAATCATGGCTGAAATAAATGATTTTTAATGCTTTTCAAAATGAACTACGAATTAAAGCACAGATTCATACTATGACATTTACTACGTATCAAAATAGTGGTACTTTAAAGTAGCAATTTAAGAAGATTCTGTCACCAGCCTATACTTGATCCTAGTGATTCTGAGACCAGAGAGAGAGCGTGAAGTATTAAGAGAAGTAGAATGAAAGTGGGAAGCAGAAGTCTTTAACTACAGGAATTCAAAAGATTTTTTGAGAAAAAAATCCTCCAAACTCTCACTGGAATATTTACCTAATGCCTAAACTGAAAGGATGAGTACTGAAGCCCGTTGTAAGGTGGAATACAGTATAGATTTCTCTGACATTCTGATTACAGTACAAAACCAGTGACACAATAAAGACAAATACCTGATGTAGACAGTGCAAAAGATTCCGAAAGGTGCCTCTTGAAAGGTGGTTTCTTATTGTCAAACTTGCTGTGAATCACCTGATTCTTGCTTCCTTCCAAACTTGGCAGAGTAATTCCAGTGCCAGAATGAGTCCCTGGATTGTCTGATCCTACATGAAGAGCAACCTGAGAACTTTTAGTCTTTTGGAACTTAAACTTTGAAGGCATAAGTGATGTTTTGTTACCAGAACCGTTATTTGGCACCTTTCCCACGTTATACAAAAGACCTGGGTTGTTTAATGTTTTGCCACTGCAAATGTTTACTGCATTAACAGGACTTACTTCAGAAACAGTCTCTCCAGCTGGCACAGAATTTGACCTGTACCACTTCCCCAAAACAGGTTTGGTAGTATCTTCAGAAGCAGCCTGATGACCGTTTTTAGACAGCGTGTATTTACACTCCACAGAAGTACCCGAGGTCACAGTCAGAGGACTTGAGATGTTTTTACAGTTTGCTATGTGACCTGATGTAGCCAGCCCACGTGTAACCTTCGATGAATTCCTACAGGAATCATTTACTAAGAAAGCATCCGGGATTGCATTTGGTTTTTGTGCCAAAAGATCAGGTAGTCCTTGTTTAGATGCTGGGAAGCTGTTATCAGCATTTGATCTGGAATTCATACTGGTCCCTTGTACAGTTCTGGCTCTTTCATTTCCTTGTTTAACATCCTGACTCTGAGTCTGCTTCTCTATATCATCACACACCTGATAGAGCAATTCATCATCCTCACAGTTTGCATCCCAAAGACTATCAGATTCACAGAACATATCTAGGATCTCCTCGGAGAATTTCGGTTCATTCCAGTCATCAAATGCCAGAGGACGTTTCTTTGGTATTTCAACTTGATTTAGGTGACCTGTACTAGCTTGGTTAATCACTTTAGTTACATCATTAGGTTTTGTATTGGTAGAAACACTGGATGACTGACAGAAAATATTGCGTGTGTTGTTCCCAGGTTTTTCAGTCCATTGTCTATGGGGATTAGATCTTGAAGGAAGCAGAAGAAGAGGGTTACTTGTAGGCTGAATGGTTTCATCTCCATTCTTCACTTCAGGTTGCACTGCAACAGGAATATAGTTCAAATCCCCACTTGGGGCATCTTTGCAAACAAAATTTATTTTATCTGGCTTAACATCATGTTTGCCAGGAAAGGCTCTGGTCTCTCTCTTTGAGTTTTCTCTCTTATATGGCTTCTGTAAAGGAAGAGATTTTTCAACATTTCGTGTGTTTTTACTAGAATTTTTCACAGGTGAGAACTGCAAGCTGTTAGATTTGGGTATGCTCCCCAAATAAGTTACTGAATTGCAACTATTTTTTTCCATTGTTCTGCCAGCATCACTGAAACCACACACAGATGCATTTGTAGGCAACAGTGGTGCTTCTTCAGTATTTACCAGTTCAGGATTTTGGGTTATCTGCATCACAAAAGAGTCATCTGCCAAAAGATCTGTATCCCAGTCATCAAAGTCATCATTAACTGCTCCAGCAAGCTTACTGGAGGCCACCAATGGTGTCTTCAAAGAAGAAGGATTTTTTTTTGTCAACGTGTGAGCATCAGGTTTTGGTAAAGTCTTGTTCACATTTCCTAGTGCACGTGGAGTATCTTTTTGATACGTCTCTGACTTAACATGTTGCACGCCTTTAATAGCCTCAGGAAGGTGTTGCTCCTCCAAGGTGCTTTCATTTTCATGGACACTATTATTTAAAGAAATATCTGACAGTCCTTGGCTCAACTGTCCAGTACACTTCTGGGTGGAGCAGTCAAAAAGAGCACGAAGGGCTATTTCAGCCTCAAGGTCTACAGACTTCTGACTGCTTGACTGACAGGGCTCTGCAGCAGGGATGCCAGTGCTCTGTCCAATTGGTTTCAGAGACAGAGCACTATCTGTTTCAGAAGCTTCACCAAGAAGTGATTTCAGGTTCTTCGTATTTACTTCACCTTTAGAGTTCTTTAAAACCTCTGAGGAAGTCTGGATGAAGTTATGACCAAGCTTCTCTTGCTCCTGAACAGCGTCTAGCTCTACTAGATTTTTATCAAATTCCTTAGCCAATTTCATGAGTTCCTCTTCAGGATTTTTTATTTTAAGATCTCTAGAATAAAAAAAAAAAAAAAAAGAACAAAAACCAGAAAAGAAAGTCAGAGCTACTGAGAAAGATTAGCCAGGCTCAATAACACAACCATATGACTGAACCCCACCACTGTCGCTGGGCAGTCAGCATGCGCTCTCCCATTAAGAGGAGGTAACCAGCCCAAAGTCAGACGTATGCTGCACAGTAATGTACAATTACATGGTTCCCTATAGATAAAGGGAACAGCACACACTCTCTTTTCCATGAAAGCCCAGCTGTGATGGGCAAGACAAAGCTCACTCACCTCGTGCAGGTTAACTTTGTCCTGGCTCGCACTTTGACTGCCCCGGGCGTGCAGGGAATGGCATCCTCTCCAATCCACGTCCCTAAAAGGGAGCCTTCGTTACAGGCTGCTTTTTCATCCTGAATGATTAGATTCACAATGCTTAGCCACTTCAGTTCAGGTGGAGACTGGACTGAACACACACCTTGCATTAGTTAAAAAGTTGTTTAAAGCAATTAAACTGGATGAAATCTGTTGCAAGCCACAGAGAGGAGCTAAACTAATGCAAGCTAAGCAAGATTACTGTAACATTGTCTGCTGATAATTGTATCACTTTTATGATATTAATCTAAACTTCAGTTAAACTAACTGATTTTCACCTTGATGTTCAAATCTAATACTCTGTTTAATTCAGGTTTACACGTAATCTGCAATATGCACATTACAAGCAGTGATCTAGTTTAGTTAGTATACTATTAAGGACCTAGCTGAGGTGTACTGTCTTTATCTATTTAAAGCAGCATTAACAAAACAGAGAATCTGAAAGAAATCATGTTCTGTATGCATCCAGGAAAAAAAATCTGACTTCTTCCATTACAACATTCTTCTTTCCATTACAACTCATTTATACAAGGAGTCTTTAAACAGAAATAAGTGACATTTAGAAACTAAATGAAGTTGTTTCAAGACTTCAAAGTTCAGGCTTGGATTTGAATTCTGAAATCTAAAAGACAAAAATACTGCAGTGGTAAATTGTCTAAAAGCCAGAGCCACAAGATGTGGGAAATTACTACAGGTAAGCCAATAAAAGTAATCTGAACTTTACTAACCACCAGGGTAGTTTTAAGCAGGTTTTAATTTTCATTGTAAATTTTTTGTTATTCTTATTTATAGAAAAAAAAACATATGAGCAACAGATAGTTGCAAATCCTTATATTATTTACATTTATGGCAGGGCTGTAATAATTTAAAAAGGAAGTGGCATCACTTATCAGTGATTTTCCTATTCTTAAGTATAATTTCTCACAAATATGCCAAATAGTAAGTAAATTTTAAATGGCCCAGTAAACGGTGTATTTTGCAAGCTAAATACTACGGAACTGGTTTAAGTATGACATGTTCTCCTCTTGCACTTAATAAAAAGAAAACAGTAAGCCAATGCTCTTCTTTTCACTTTCTGGGCTGTGGGCATCAGGTTCACAGCAAGAAGGAAACACCAGAAGCATAGATCTTAGGGTAAAAAGGCAAATCATTTAGAATAATGAAGCAGTGTTACTGTGTTTATATTATTGTGGAGTCTCTCTCTGATCTGAGTCTTGTTCTTGTACTTAGGAGACATTCAAGACCACCCAAAATGTTTAATACAACTTCCAATTAAATCCAGTATTTGAAGAAATTCTCACCATTAAAGAGATGAGTGATTAAGGATGAATAAACACAACAGAATTCCTAAGACCGGGGGCAATAACTTGTATTCTGAAAGTAAAACTTTGTGAACTGGAGCTTCTGCAAATCCACTTTCTTAATACATCATTTTTTTTTTTTTACAGCATTTGTAAATCCAGTTTTATCTACTTCTCTCCACACCCAGTTCTCTGAGATACTGTAACTAAAATGGGGACTTCACTACTCTATCCAATTACTGCATATTCAGAGCATTGTTTTAGAAAATAACCATTACCTGAGGAGCAATACGATTAACAATTTCTGAAATTTCTACTGCACAGCTACTGGCAGATGGTTTGGTTTTCCCATTGCCTATGAAAAAACACAAAAAACCTTCTTAAAACTTGCAAAACAAGTGCAGTACATCTCAAATAACTCAGACATATGTGTTAAAACCAGAACACATATATTGAATAATTCATGAGTTTTTAATAAAAAATAAGCCCAACAACCCAACCACGTTAACAGAAAGGGACCTTTTTTCAAAAGATGGGGTAACTTTTAGTACAGTCCCACTCACGCCTCACACAGGTGCCCCAAAGTCTGGTGGTGTTAAATATTACCTAGTCTGCGTTCGATTGGTGACTGGGGATCCCAAAAGATTTCTTGCTGTATGTCAGTGTCGTTAACAGGAGAGCTGAATGTGGGTATTCGGGATTTCCTACTCAGTGATCTCTTTGGTGTTTTATGCAAACATGACTCTGTGCAAACAGAAAGATGATCCTTAGTAAAAAAACAACAAATAAAAGGCTGAAGTAACTTACAACAAGAAGGCACAAAGATGCTTTAGGAACTTTAAGAATGAAAAGCACGTTTGCACTCATGAATATTCCTTTACATACAACAGGAACATTGTTCACAACTAGATTTATAATGCAGAATACGACTGTCAGTTCCATCACCACAGAGATAACGAGAGCATTACACCATGCTGACAGCTGTATGCTCAGCTTCTGATGACAAGGATGAGAACTGTCAATTCTCCTGCTTGAGGGAATACTGACTTCAGCTTACATTTAGAAAAAAATTATGGATACCTATATGGGAGAATATTTTGTATTCTTGCTTGCTTGTCTTTTACCTTTACTCTGATTTGGGTCACAATTTTAATGGGTCCCCAAACTGTTCCGAGTCACAGCCCACCTTTCTCTGGGCCATCTCCACTGGGCCTTTTCAGATAGGAGTATTAAGGCAGGAATACAGCCACTGGAAGCCACCTTGCACCTGTCTCAGACCAGTGAGTGAACTGAACACACGATGTGAAGCTCAGCTAGTCACCCCTACCCTTCAGCAATGACGTTGCAGACGTGGAAGCCCACAGAAACCGTGTTAGAAGATGCAATTACTACGTGAGGAGCATCTCGGGAGATGCTTTGCGTTTAGGCGGTTACCCCGGCCAGGCTTCATCCCCTGCTCGAGTGCATGAGCGGCCTCAGCCAGTTCCGTGCCTGCCGCGGGAAGGTCTCTCCTTCCCTCCCGGAGGAGGGGAGCAATCTCCGCCCGCACAGGGCCGGGGGCGGTCGGG